TCCTTTACACAAGAGGCAGCAATAGCAAAAAGGCAGTCCACACAACATGGTCAGGGAGGAAAATGGAAAAATAAAAGGAAAGAAAGGTAGATAAAAACAATTACAGTGAGCCAGAAGTCTGACTCTACACTGCAACAAGACGAGACGGCAATTATTATTTGTAGGAAACAAATCAAATCGGTAAAAAACTACGTACCCTTGTAACACTACAAGATACGATACAAAAAGTAATTATACACACATCAAAATAGTCTAGGGAACAAGATACAACTGAATACATTTATAAATTGAACAAAATATACTTTTAAAAGATTTTTAAATTTTATTAAAGCCTGCTGGAAAAGCCGATATGATAAATTTTACAAGATTTGTTCAACAAATACCCATATGGTATCTTTTTAATAGTTATTTATACACCAAGTGAGTTAAATGAATGTTTATTCATGAGAAAAAAGTTTAACCCACGAGCCCTAGCGAGTGGGTTAATTTTCTTCGAATGAATAAACATTTCAACTCACGTGATGTATACAAAATTTTATCCCATTTTGTGGAAATTTAAAAAATAAAGTACAAGGAAAAATGCCGAGAGTGAGTTAAAAATATTTTAAATCACTGAGGTGTCAGCGTGACTTAAAATGCCGAGAGTGACTTAAAAAATCTTTAAATCACTGAGGTGATAAACGTCTACTTACCTTTATTGTTATGCGTTCAATAATGTCATTTTTAAACGTCAAAATGGGATAAAAAAAGTTATTCTGTCTAAAAATTAAAAGACGAATATTTCTTGTTCCCTAGACTTTTTTGATGAGTGTAATTACCATCCGGTAAAATCAGCGGAACGGTAAAATTTATTTTTAACAGATAAAAACAGAGACAAATCAAAATTAGAGCCAAGGTAAGGTTCCAGGTCCTTAACGTGCCAGTTACCCACATTCTTCCCAGTAGAATCCATTAGAGATATTCGCTTTTTAACGGTATATAAGATAAATTTAGGAGCAAGCTTTGCGGAAAACTTCTCAGAAGTATCTTACTCTCTGTACTTTTTTGAATGAGGACCTTGGAACGTTGTCTCAGGTGGCAAAGAACCATCAACTACAAATTAATCCCTCTAAATCAGTTGCACTTCTTTTTTGTAGCGAGGTGCATCGGGCTGGTATTGTTGGTGACATGTCATTGAAAATTGATGGTACAAATCTGCCCTTCCAGAATTATTCTAAAAACCTAGGTCTGATAATGGATAATAAACTAAAATTTACTGAACACGTTACAAGCAAGATTAGTTTAGGGTACTGCAACTTGAAATTGCTTTATTCGCATCGAAAATATTTACATCAAGATGCCAAAAGAATGCTGTGCGATGCGATGGTCTTATCACCGTTAAATTATTGTGATGTTATATATGGTCCTTGCTTAACTACTTACGATTCTAGGCGCATCCAGAAATTGCAAAACTGTTGTCTAAGGCTAATTTACGGAATACGCAGAAGAGAACGAATCACGTATAGACTGCAGGATGCAGGTTGGCTGAATATGTATAGTCGAAGAGTGATGCATTCCGCAATATTTTTTTATAAAATTCTTAAAAAAAAGTCTCCTAGGTATCTTGTAGGAAAAGTGCGATATCGTAATCAAATCCATAACCGCAACCTTAGATGTAGCCATATTTTAACGATACCACGCCATAACAAAGAATTTTTCAAAAAGTCTTTTGCATACAATATTGCTAACATAATAAACAAATTTCAAATAGTGGATTTTTCCACTTCGATCGCATTTCTTAAAAAACGAATTAAAACTAAATTATTTCAATCGCAGCTCGTACGAATATAGTGTTTTGATATTAAATTTGTTGACTTGTTCGGTATACGTATGTGTGTACGATACTTTTTTTTCAGTATTATTTTTATTAATAGTGAATTGATTTTATTTATTTATTTTTTTTCATTCCTGCAAATGTGTGCTTTACCTCTCTTTACCCCTCTCTCTCCGTCCCTTGCCTACACTCCTTGTCGATTTATTTTCGCTTAGTTTTATTTTCTAGTTGATAATAATAATCTCTGTACTCTGGTTAATTTTTCTTTTATTCTGTTTTAATTTGTTGCTATTATATTTGAGGCCTCAACAGCATTTGTGAGATCATGCGTGACCTCGCAAAATAGGCTGAAATATGGGCCGTTTAACTCATCTAGTCGTGTAAGTAAGCTGATGTAAAATGTTATTTGTATTTACTTTTTGAGTTAATAAACGTCTTATTATTATTATTATTATTATTATTATTATTATCTGAGAGAACTTTATTACGTTTCCAGACTTTATCCCCAACGTTAAATACAGCATCTCGTCTCCTGAGATTATAGGTATCTGCATTTCGTTGATACGCAGCATGTGATCTCTTCCGAACTTCAGAAAAAATTACAGGTAAATTTTTAATGTCCTTGGCATAAGTGTCAGGATCGCCAGGAGAAATTTCAATGTCTTCAGAAGAAGGAACGTCACCGTACTAACGTCCAGAAAGAGGAACATGACGCGCAAAATTTAAAAATGCAGTGGTATAGCCGGTAACTTCATGTTTGGCGGTATTTAAGGCGTGTTGAAGCTTTGGGAACTCCTTGTCCCAGTGTTGATGAATGGTCCTTAACATAACAACGGATCGCAGTACCTATAGTTCGATTCGAACGCTCAACAAAATTAACCTGAGGGGAATAAAAAGCTGTATACCAAACTTTCTGAACTTGGTAAGTAAATCCTTAAACACGTTAGCAACGAGATTAGAACCATTATCACAGATAATGAACTGAGGAAGTCCAAACTTCAGAAATACTTCATTCTCGATACATTTAACGATACAGTTTGCGGTAGCTACGCGCAGGGGATGCAAAAGACAATATTTCGTGAGCCAATCACAGATTACAAGGAGGTAACAATTGTTTTTGGACGATCTAGGAAATGGTCCCATTAAATCTACGGCTATAGTTTGCCAAGGAAATTGCACGGATTTTTCACCACCCATTAAACCAAGGGGGGAAGATTAGAAGCTTTCTGGCTACTACAGATATGGCAAGTTCGAACATAAGATAAGATATGCTTGCTCATTCTAGGCCAATAGTAATTTTCTTGAACTCTGGCTAGAGTTTTGAAGAAACCTGAGTGGGCGGCAGTGGGGGGATTGTGACAATCGTCGATGATTTGTTTTTGAAGATAATTGGGAACCAGGATTTTCCACTCTTAAGTATTTGATTTTACAGGAGCATAAGATAAGACTAGCTTATAAACAGCATCATTTTCCACCTTAAAATGGAGGTAACTCTCGGGAAGCTGAAGAATTTTTTGTTTTAAAGAAATATACCAGTTGTCAAGCTTTTCAGGAATAATATCGATTAAGGAAATCTCTGGAAAATATTCCGGAATACGAGATAAGGCATCTCGAACAATATTGTTGGTACCTTTGCGGTGAACCAAGTCAAAAGTATGGGTTCGGAGCTTCATAGCCCAACGAGCAAGTTTACCGGTAGGGTTTTTAAGATTATTTAACCACAATAAAGCCAGTAACAACTGTGAATTTTACACCTTCAATATAGCCTCGGAAACGATCTATATTGAATAATAGAGCCACACATTCTTTTTGGGTAGCACTGAGTTTTCTCTCAGTCTTAGTCAAAGACCTACTAGCATAAGCTATAACCTTCTCAACTCCACCAATAACTTGAGTGAGTACTCCTCCGAGTCCGACGTCACTGGCATCACTTTGGATGGTGAAAGGTAATGAAAAATCAGGCTGGCTCAAGACAGGGGTAGAAACAAGGGCCTGCTTGATTTGAAGGAAAGCCTTCTCGGCTTCGGTAGTCCACTTAATGGCTTCATTCTTTTTCTTTCCCTTCAAGAGATCATGAATGGGAGATATTACGGAAGAATAATTCTCCAAGAATCTTCGATACCAACCAAACCAACCAGAAAATCTTTTAATTTGGGTCGTATTTGCGGGCCTGGGATAATTAATCATGGCGAATATCTTCTCTGGGTCTGTTCTCAATCCATCTGATCCGACAATATAACCCAGGAATTTAAGTGACGCTTTGAAAAATTCACATTTGTTGACATTAATGGTAATATTCGCATCTTGCAAGATTTTCTTGACCTCAGAGAGTGATTTGACGTGTTCGTCAAATGTTGAAGAAATTATGACAATATCATCCAGATAACAAAATATATTTGGCTCGAAACGAGGAACAAATAAACTGTCTATCAGTCGCTGTTGAATTTGAGCACTGTTACACAAGCTGAAAGGAACGAACGTAAATTGGAAAAGTCCACGACCCATTATAGAAAAGAGGAGGAATGAAAGTTGTGTATTTTCGTGCAAAATATTTAATTTTTCAAAATCAGTGCAGAGCGCTTTCGGCCTTAGGCCATCATCAGTGCTACCTGGAAGTAAAAGGGAGACCTTAACTTTATAAAATAATGCTAAAAAAGGAAAGATTGAGAATGGGGTCCAGCCTACTTACTTCGTCAGGTAATCAGTGCAGAAAATTCAATAAAATCGGGACGACACATTGGACAAGTACGTACGTAACAACAACACTTTAAAATTAGAATCTTATATCACATTTTTTATATAAAGGAACTGAGCTGTAAAAATTCTCTCACAATACTGGCTTTAGGGTCCAATCTGCTGAACTTTAAAAAATTTGGTCAGTTGTGCCTTACTTCATCGTAGTCTCTGAAAGTATAATCTTGTGTTAAATCCCAAATTTAGGATTTTTAGAATTTTAATTTAAAACGTGTCGTTCGGAAACCAGAACCCATCGAATGAAGATGACTTTCAAATTTTTAAATTGACATGAAGAATATCAAAGACAGTTGACACCTCGAGACAGACAAACGTCCAAAGCGAACCCAGGTTAGGTTGTAAATCAAATGGAATAAGACGGAAGAAAAGAAGAGACATTGAGGGAAAACAACATGGCCGTCGAGTCCACACAACGATGGTCAGGAGGAACAATTTAGAGGCGTCTATGCAAGGGGATGTATGATCTATTCAGATTTACCTGAGTGTTAAGACATAGCTCATTGTTGCGCAACTCTTTACTGATCTCAATATCTTCCATGAAATCTAAACGATTGAAATTTTTAGAAGAAATGTTGTGTAGTATTTTTGTACACAACATTTCTTCTAAAAATTTCAATCGTTTAGATTTCATGGAAGATATTGAGATCAGTAAAGAGTTGCGCAACAATGAACTATGTCTTAACACTCAGGTAAATCTGAATAGATCATACATCCCCTTGCATAGACGCCTCTAAATTGTTCCTCCTGACCATCGTTGTGTGGACTCGACGGCCATGTTGTTTTCCCTCAATGTCTCTTCTTTTCTTCCGTCTTATTCCATTTGATTTACAACCTAACCTGGGTTCGCTTTGGACGTTTGTCTGTCTCGAGGTGTCAACTGTCTTTGATATTCTTCATGTCAATTTAAAAATTTGAAAGTCATCTTCATTCGATGGGTTCTGGTTTCCGAACGACACGTTTTAAATTAAAATTCTAAAAATCCTAAATTTGGAATTTAACACAAGATTATACTTTCAGAGACTACGATGAAGTAAGGCACAACTGACCAAATTTTTTAAAGTTCAGCAGATTGGACCCTAAAGCCAGTATTGTGAGAGAATTTTTACAGCTCAGTTCCTTTATATAAAAAATGTGATATAAGATTCTAATTTTAAAGTGTTGTTGTTACGTACGTACTTGTCCAATGTGTCGTCCCGATTTTATTGAATTTTCTGCACTGATTACCTGACGAAGTAAGTAGGCTGGACCCCATTCTCAATCTTTCCTTTTTTAGCATTATTTTATAAAGTTAAGGTCTCCCTTTTACTTCCAGGTAGCACTGATGATGGCCTAAGGCCGAAAGCGCTCTGCACTGATTTTGAAAAATTAAATATTTTGCACGAAAATACACAACTTTCATTCCTCCTCATTTCCAAGCGTGCACACAGCCTTCAACCTTTCATTATAGAAAAAGCAGTTTTCTCACGAGAATCCTGGTCAAGAGGGATTTGCCAGAAAGCTTTACGAAGATCCACCGAAGATTCCGAAGAAATATAATTAGCACCACGAAGCATGCTGAGAATTCGTTCGATATTAGGCAAGGGATAACTGTCATGTTTGGTTTGCTCATTTAGAAATCTTCCATCAGAACAAAACCTCATTTCATCATTGGATTTTTTTACCAGAAAGACAGGCGAGGAATAAGGACTTTGCGAAGGTTCTACAACAACTAATTTTATCATTTCATCGAGTTCTTGATTTAAAATCTTCAGCATATAAGGAGACATTGGGTATTGCTTCCTTTTAAAAGGTTTAGCGTCGCCAGTATCAATATGCATTGATATTTTGTTGGTCCTGCCGATGGAAGTATCACTGGAAATTTCTCGGAAAGAATCGATTACTGACTGAGCAAGAACACGTTGGTGATCTTGTAAATCATCGAAAGTAAAAAGTGAGTTGATATCGGAATTAAAATTAAATTCTAAATCAGAATTGTTTTGAGCAAACCAGGATCCGGATTCCGAACCCACAATTCGATAGTATCGTCCATATAAATTACATGGACGATACTATCGAATCGTGGGTTCGGGATCTGGGCCCAGTATTCTTATTGAAATCCACTACCAGTGAAAATTGTCTAGCAAAATCACTACCAAAAATGAAACTGTGCACTAGGGAAGGAACTACCAAAGCTTTCAAAACCTGGCAGGTATCGTTAATGTATACCGGTCTGGCAAGTGAACATTTTACATGCGAATTTTAATGCAATAGAATGAAATGTATAGGACAAGTCTAAGGTTGAATAAAGTACGAAAACGATTTCCCCTGTTCCACCTCCAGCGTTCTTAGAGCTGCATGCCGGAGGTGGAACAGGAGAAATCGTTTTCGTTCTCTATCTAACTCTAGACTTCTATAAATTTCATTCTATTGCATTAAAATTGGCCTGTAAGATGCTCACTTGCCAGACCTGTATAGGTAAGTCAATTACACCTTTGACTTTCTGTTGTGCTCCATTGGCAACGGCAATGTTTAACTGGCGAAGAGTTAACGGTAATGTTTAGTCCGACAACTTCGGAGTCGAAAATGTGAACCTTAATGTAAGGCCGGTTATCGAGAGTTTGAGGGACAAAGACGGGAGCCAGTTCTATATCCTACAAATAAAAAAAATTCCCATATGTAGCGAACATTATGGGGGACACTGTATATGAAGTAAATATGACTTCACTTTTGCACCAAAACCGATCTTAAACGACATAGAACAACGTGACGAAATGAGGACTGAGAATCGTCATAAACCAATTCAAGACAAGTCAATTATTAACGGAGGATGTAAACTGCAAGAAGGGAGTGGAATATCCACAGAACAAACGGTTATGGAATCTCTTAGGTCAGTGGCGCAGCCAGAAATTTTGTCTGGGGGGGGGGGGGGCATGCAGAAAAAATTATAGGAAAAAACGATCTACTTTCCTTTAAACTTTTTCTGATATGAGCAGTTTACAGCTTTCGTCTACTTCGTTATTTCTCTATTTTTCTCTGAAGCCTTGGGGGGGGGGCAGGCCCCCTGCCCCCCCCTGGCTGCGCCACTGTCTTAGGTTCTATATACAAGATAAAATAATACTATCGATAAATTTGAGCAGAATAATAATTAAAAAACTAAAAGTAATACGAGTTTGAGACCTAATTAGTATATTCCTAGGCAGAATCGAAACGACATGGCCAGTGTTTTATTTATGTTGTTAGCTCTGGAAATGTAACTTTCCACTGAGAATTTTCAATTAACTTATTGACTAATGTAATAAAACGTTTCTCTTTGTTCAATTCAATCTGAAAAGAAATATTCCTCAGCGTGTCTGGAAAACTTTTAGCATAATTGTGACGTTTAATGAGTAAACCTAGAATAGAAAGATCAAAACTTTAATAAAAGATTTGCTTCGAGAATTTTTCTACATTTCAATTTTATGTGTAAAATAAAATGTTTAATGATACACTTCTGTAAAGTGATTATTAAAATGCTCATCAAATAATTTAGGAAACCACTTCCTTCGTCCATTAAACAACCAATGCACTTTAATAAGTCACAGACATAGCTTATCTATTTTACTGGAAATAAAATTCTGCTTACTCGACTGCGGCATTACCCACAGCTATGGCGGACCTGAAATCCCTTTCGCCAATCAAAATTTTCATCAATAAAGCGTACGATTCCTCTAGTTTGCCTAATTTGACACTTTTATTAGCGTATTCTTTGGCTTTCTCAACGTTTCCTAGTTTCAAATAAGTTTGAGCTGGAATAAAATATAATGGTTTAGAAACAAATTTGATAAAAAAGCCAGTCTCACCGATAAAATAGTGAAGTTGCCAATCGGTATTTTTTGATAGTTGTTCAGCTTCCAGATAAGCATTGAGTGATAAACGAAATCTTTTCATTTCGTACCTAAATAATGGTAATAGTTAATGGTTTTTATTAAATTTTCTTCCTTATTTTATTTTTTTCTAATCAATTTATTTAAATCAAGCTACATTATACATATCAAAAATGAAAGTTAGGTTCTCATTTTGTTTGCCTAAGAGAATCTTAACTCTTAAACATTTTTTTTTCAAGGTATTTATTGTGCTGTCATGAGGGTGCAAATAACAATAAACAAGATATACTTACAAACATTTCGCTACCTCCTTTAATATCAAAGCACTTTTCTGATTCAATTTCAAACATTTCTGAAATATTTCCAATGCCTCTTGCACGTTGCCTTCTTCTTTCAAAATAATCCCCTGCTTGAAATAAACGTATTCGTTCTTACCCTGGCTCCTGCTAATTTCCGAATCGATTAGTTGTTTGCAAACACCGATTTCGCCCCGAATGTGTTGCAAGTGTATTAACCAATTCAATTTTTCCATCGGGTCTGGTTCCGGATGGTCATTTTTGAGCGGTTTTTCCAATTTGCTTGCCGAATGTAAGTGGTCTTTTCCGTTCGTAAGCATTTTTATAAGAATCTTATGGCTGAAATTATTATAGCGTACATCGAGGTAGCGTAGGTAAACACGCCATTAGTTTGTGTTGAAGCAGTTGCTTAGGCAACTATCTACTTTAGTGGAAAATATTTGTTTAAGGAAGCGCTTGAGCACAAAAGCTAACATTATCCAGTTACAATTTTAGCTTGCAGGTTTGAAGTTGAAGTTTGATTATTCTGGATAACTTGGACCTTGTTTGTAACATGGGTTTAGGAGAATTTCAAAATTCACGTGAAGAATGGTATGAGGACGCGATTTCGGGAATGTCGTCTATCTAATGTTTGGATAAAGTATAAATCGCCTTCTTTTTTCTTTTATTATCTGACACGATTCCAGTGTAGGTACCCATTTTCCTTATACGATTTTTTTTTTTAAATGGATGGCCCTCGATGTGAAGAGAGGTGGAAGAAGCGATAAAAGTTTGTCAACAAAAGAAATAATATCATAGTGTTGACAGATTTACTTCGAATGTGTATGTACCATAAATTTTTGGTAAATAGATTTATGGAAAAAAACTCCGCCTGCGAAGTGACAAATGGGCGAATTGAGTAGCTTAGGTCCTGAGCCTGGATGAAGGAGGAAGGTTGGCCGGTGAGGTGAGGCCGACAACCTCATCCCGGAAAAACTTCCTTGTCATGAATCCGGTCAACAAGCCTCGAAACACGAGTCAGATACCTCTAAGACGACTCAGGTAAAGAAATATGGAATACGTTTTGGGAACATGGAATGTACTGATGCTGAATAAACCCAGGCGTTCAGATGTCGCTACTATATAGAATATCACTGGCGGCGATTCAGGAAACAAAATGGCTTAGACGCAAAAACCCATACAATTTCATATACAGCGGAAAGGAGACGGGAGGAGTTCGGAGTTGCTTTCATTGTAGATAACAACATGGTGGATTTCAAGGCGATAAATGAGAGTGTGCAATAGAAGAGCAAAATCTCGATAAAAAAGAAGCACTCTATGGCCAAATGGACGAGGCATACAAAACTGCCCAAGAAACGATATAAAAATAGTAATGGGAGACATGAATGCCCAATTAAGCCGAAAGGAACAGTTCCTAGCAGTCATAGGCAGACACTCACTGCATGAAAGAACCAACCATAATGGAGAATTTATAATCAATTTTGTCAGCAGGAAGAATTGATCCATTTTATCCATTTACTCAATCAGCATATTACAGAATAACAAAAGTTTTCCAAATGGTACATACATTAAAATACTATTAAAAGGTAATAGTCTCCAGTACATCGACCTTTAAATTTTGTTTCCTTCCTGACGTCTTTAAGGAAGGTACTTGTCGTTTCAATGCCAATCGACTATTTTTTATATTACATTAACGATATCACGTTTGTCGGACAAAAATCTCGTGACTTTCGGGGAGTCTGATGCTCACAACATTTCTCTGTGACGTCATGTTGATTGATTCCAATAACGTACTGGAGTGCAGAATATTATGAAGAATGATAAGCAGGCCGCGCATCTCTGCTCAAGGCTCTTAATCCCACAAAGCAACCGTCTGGTTTCATAAGGTATTCCTGATGAAGAAAAGCTGTATTTATAAAGTAGGTATTTTAGAAACCTGTTCTGGGCGTTCTCTAGTCTATTAATATGGATGGTATAATGTGAGGACCAGATGAAGGAGCATTATTCAAGTGTGCTGCATACAAGGGCGTTGTAAAGACATGTAAAGTGCCTTGGTGTCGATGATGTGTTTGGTGTTTCGCTTAATGAAGCCAAGCAATTTGCAGCCTGTGACAACAATATTATCAATGTGGGTGAATATCAGTTTTTGATCAAAAGTTACACCAACGTTGTGAATTGAATGAATTCCACATTATCAATTTGTTGACCACCGATCTTATATATTGACAATTAAGGAGATGTACTCTTGTGGAACGTTATTGATTTGCATTTGGATATGTTGATTTTCAATAGGTTTGAAGAATACCAAGATGCATCTGTCAAAATCTGATTACAGTGGGTTGGAAACTCCATTCCTAACTTATAAAATTTCAGGTCATCAGCATATAGGAAAAAATGCGAAAAATGGAAGCAGAAGGAAACATCGTTGATAAGTAACGGGAAAAGAACAGGTCCCATGTGTGATCCTTGGGGAACACCGGAAGTGCTCTTGACGTTTTCTGAGGAATAGCCACACACTTCTACCCTCTGTGTTCGATCTCCAAGATATGATTTGATCCATGCCAAATAGTTTTTAGAAATAAAAATTTCCGATAGTTTTCTTAAAAGAATGAGGTGGCAAACGCTTTCAAAAGCCTTGTCTGGATCTGTGTAAATGGAGTCGACCTTGTGTCCAACCTCAACGGAGGTAATTAAGAAGTTCAGGTAGACTGCTACGTTGAATGAAGTTGAACGCTTGCTAAAGAATCCATGTTGTTCTGCTATAAGATAAAGTCTATATGTTATGAATATTTCCTCGGTTAAGATTGATTCGAATACTTTTGGAATAGCAGAAAGTATCGATATTACACGGTAGTTCTCAACATCGCACCTATCTCCAGACTTGAAGATTGGAAGAAGGTGGAAAGATTTCCACATTTCAGGAAAAAAGCCACAATCTAAAGATCGTTGAAAAATAATGCAAAGTGGAAGATCTTTCAGAAATATAGCCGGTATTTCGTCAGATCCTGCTTGTTTGGATATTCATAAAACAACAACATGAATCGTTTAAAAACTCAGGACAACTAACGCATAGAAACTGACGTTTGTTAAAAAGTAAATAAAGTCTGTTTTTTTTTTTTAAGATAATTCCTCAAGTCAAAAAGACACGCTTGTTCTACACAAAAAATTTGAAAGCATTGACACTTTTACATTGTATTGCCAACATAATGTCATTTTGACTTTTATCTTTAAAAAAAAAAACAGATTTTAATAAGGTAACAATACTCCAATGTTGCCAATAATATTAATAGAGAGTAACAGCATAATATAAATAGTGTAAATACGAAAATTTTAAGAACACTACAACTTCTTGAAAACTGTCCATTAAACCTTACTGCATTAACAAATACATCATGCTTAACACTACCTAACTTTTAATATGTCAGCAGACATATCATTCGTGGCTCATGGCTGTTTCCAGCAACTATTCTAGGGAAGCCTTAACGATAAGTATTTCTCAAATTGACATTCTCCCATGGATAAATGTCAGTTCAACGAATATTTATCGTTGAGGATCCTCAAAAATAGTTGGTGGAAACGGCCATGAATATTTTAAAGAAACCAACCCATTGGAAACTGCTTCACGAATAAAGTGATGTCTATAACGTCTGTGTGTTTGGACCTCTAATGTACAATGGGATTAATTGACAATTTTTGTGCACTTTGGTTCCTTAGAAGCTCCACTAAGTGCCATATACTCTGCCTCTGTCGAGCTAAGTGCTAGCGTTTTTTGTTTACTACTTTCCCAACTTATAACCCCCCTGAAAGTTTGAAAATAAAACCAGTATATGACCTCCTGTTCTTTTTTATTTGATGCCCAATATGCATCTGCAAAGCCTTCTAATTCACAATTATTATCCTTTGCAAATTTTAATGTACTATGCAAATATTTTAATACACACTTCGCACTTTTCCAATGAACATGTATAAAATAAGTATTATATTGACTATGAAAACACACTGAAACACAGAGATATCTGGCGTTGTTAATACTGCCAGGTACATAAGGCTACCTATCAATTTTTTATAAGGAATAATTTGATCAGTACATTTGGCTACTTCTACATTTCCATAATCTATGCTGATATCTAAAGGTGTACTTACACTTTTACAATCTGACATGTCAAATTTTCTTGATATCTGATCAATATATACCTACCTCCTGATCTAATAAAATTGAACCATCACCGCCATACTGCACTCTCCTCAACTCCTAAAACCTGTTTAGCTTGGCCTAAATCTTTTATCTTAAATTCGATCCGAATTTTAACTTTAAAAACCCTGTTATTTTTGACAATTACTGAAAATAAACAAAATCATCCACAGTGTTACAATTGGAAAATAATTGCCAATTTTTTTAATATACAAACATGGTTCATATTCTGACTTTTTATGCCCCAATTTTAACAAAACTTAATCTACCCTAAGATTCCATTGCCTTGAATTTTACTTCAGTCCATAAATAGACTTTTTTAATTTGAGATTCTTATTGTCCCCTATATCCAAACTCTCTGGTTTACTCATAAAAAACTTATCTAATATCTATTCACAATCCGATATCCAGAGGTAAAGATAAAATTTATCACCTTTCAGTGCTGTTTGATAGGGAAAGGTGATAAATTTACCTTTACCTTTGGACTACGGATTGTGAATAGGATATAAATGACCATTTAAAAAGGCAGTTGCTACATTTAAATGTGTTATCTCCAAGTCATATTTCACAGAAATAGCAAACAATAGTCTTAGAATACATTGTCTTACCACTGGGCTGAATGTCTCATCAAAATTAACTCCAGATGTCTGGTTAAACCCTCTTGCAACAAGTCGGGCTCTGTAACGCACTGAGCCATCACTTTCACTATTACGCTTGAAAATCCACTTGCATTCCACAACACTAGGTACGATTTTCCGGTATGTTCACATATCACGGTCCGGTCTGGATATGCATCACTAACTGTTGTCAGATCTTCATCCAATCTGACTTTATTTGGAGACTTTTGACATATTCCTGACAAAAAAGTTACATGATCATCGAAACTTTTTGGCTTATGTCCTCTCATATAGATCTCCTAACAGTCTCATCTCCTTCAAACACATAGTCACTATCTACAGAGCTATCAAGGAAACGAATTATCAAATTATTCTGCATGAGTACTTTTAGAGTCATTTTCTGAGTGTTCTAATATTGTTTCTTCTGATTGATCCCCCACTTCAGGTGGTATTTCTGAAGTTATCATAATGACTTCAACATCTCTAGAAATACTTATCTCTCGACTATCTG